GGTTGCACTGGGGGAGCTCTCCAGGGCCCTTTCAACTCCTCCTGTTCTGTGATTTAGGTGAGAGAGAGGAGCTCAATTTGACCGCCAATCGCCTGATGGGCCGCACCCTCACGGTGGAGGTGTCGGTGGAAACCATCCGCAATGCCCAGCAGCAGGAGTCCCTGCAGCACGCCACCAAGATGATCGACGAGATCGTCAGCAAGCTCCTGGATGACCTGGAGGATGCCAAAATCCGCCTCATCTCGCTGTACGGAGCCTGCACCTCGGACGTGCCCGCGGGCCCCATCGATCAGAAGTTCCAGTCGGTGGTGATCGGCTGCGCCATCGAGGACCAGAAGAAGATCAAGCGGCGCCTAGAGACTCTGCTGCGGAACCTGGAGAACTCCGAGAAGTCCATCACGCTGCTGGAGCACCAGAAGCCGTCGGTGCGGCAGTCCTGCAACAGCAAACAGGATTGAAGCGCGCTGCGGGGCCGCAGGGGGAGCAGATCTCGGCAGATCCCTCCCTGCAGAGCACACGGGGGCCGAGGGAAACCCCTGCGCACGCACGGAGCAGGTTGGGTAGCGCTGGCGTTTCCTTTTGGAGCTCTCCTCTGCAGGCAGTGCCGCTCTATTGCCAATTGTAATCGTGCTTCTGCTGAACTGTCAGGATCCCCCCCCTCCAAAATCTGGCCTTTCCTCCATGCTCCTGGTTTGGTTTTTTGGTTCGGTTGGGGTTTGTTGGTTGGTTTTTTTTGACAAACGACTCGTAGCAATAAATGGAAAACCTTAATAAACCGCACACTGTATTTCCATAAACACCCCCCTGTCCTCGTTGCCATGCACCACCTGAATAATTTGGCACCGTTAGCAGATGGCAGTACAGGAAAGACGGGTGCCTCTGGCTCCCCAGGACGTGGAAAGCAGCGCATCGGCCCAAAATCACCGCATCGGCCCGAAATCTTCACCACCAGCGCCTTCGTTTCCACGCTGCCTGCTGCCATCCCGCCCCCCAAACCTCGCTGCGCTTCCAGGCTGCTGGGTCTTTGCTTTTTCTGCATTTTATTCACAGAAATGGCGCTTCAGGGGTGCTTCCAAACCCAGTGTTCAGCTTTGAGACCGTGAGAACTTCTGAAGAAGCTGGTGATATGAATGCTGTAATCCCACTTTAATAATAACAGGTATATTCTTGTATGTTTTAGATAATGTGAACATCAGTAAAAACTGGCTGGATGGGAGCACAGAGAG